CAATAAAAATCTCTTTCTAATAGACAAAACTGTCTCCAAAAATCTTCTATAGTAGGAGAGAAAAAAATGGACAAGTTCAAAAAATTCAACGCGCATTCCTTTCCGGACAACCTAATACTTTAACTTATTATAGGAAGGTCGTTCAGGTCGAAGTGGCCATTTGTAATGAGATGTAGCTCACTAGACGTGGTTTCGGACGCTGATCTCTAATCTGCCTTCGAAATTTGCAGAACGATTCTTTGAACGGAAACTAGCTTTCACAGAGAACAGAAATTACAAGTGGTCTCTGAGCGCTCACCTGCCCTCCTCTGCGGCTTTGCTCCCTCGTTGTCTCGTTATGGAGCTTTTTCCATCGCGTTTTACATCGGCAACTCACGGTCTTGGCCGATCGCCGTATCTCCTTGCTGTCAGCGTTTTTTACTTGTTCTGCTTCTGCGCCAAACTCGTGTTCAAAACGTTGCGTTGTGGCCGTCACTACTACTATGAAGCGGGGCCATCTTATGTTTATCTTCTTTTTTCCTCTTGGATTGGCCTGAAAAACAGGTTACGCGTGTCGTTACTGGCGCGCTGTAGTGCCTTCATTGAATTCAGGAGAATGTGTCGGATTGTACAGGCTGCCCTTGCGCGCGCAGGCAGGAGTTTTTCGCGCTGACTGGAATGGCCATATTCGTGTTTATCGGGGCGAACTACGCCTATGTAGAGGTTTCTAGCCAAATCTGGCATTTTGACCTGACTTCCATAAGTGGACCATCCATGGATGCATCCACTTATGAATCCAATATGTACACACCTATTCAGATGCAGATACATTCTCCTGCACAAACCCTCGTCTTGCCACTTCTTACGCATTCATTTTGTTACTGCTTCAGTTTTCCTAATATCTGAAAGCAAATTCCGTCCAAAGACAAGCAATCAACAAGAGATTGGCCCTGGAACTATTAGTGACCATCATTCGATCAGCTGCTACCGCACTTTTCAAAGTTAGGTCAAAACCTCACATCTGGCTAGAAACCTGCCCCAAGGGTAGTTTGCTCCCTGAACCACTTCAAGGCACGCCCGCGAAGCAAGACCACTACCACTACACCATGCTGCCGTTGAACCTTAGGGTGCTTCCCGGCTATTTATGCGAACTGGCTGGCAACCGCGCTTGACTCCGTTTTCCTTAATTTTAATTCTAACAAACCTTCATAATTCCTTTCAAAGAATCGTTTCTGCCAAACAGGGCACAGCATTCGATGGGGATTTTGGTCGAGCCTGTACGACCCCCCCCCTTTTTTGGGGGTTCGGTACGACCCCCCCCCTTTTTTTGCCGTTCGGTTTTTTTCGCCTTAAATGAAACTATGAAACGCCCACTATGAAATTCTACTTGTATGAAGGTGCCCATACTAAATGGACGACTTGAAGTCATGACATAATAGAACAATACAGAGATGATTGCAAACAAAAAACGGTACAATCGTATTATGAGAAACTCGTAATGATGAACTCTTCGATGGCCGTTTCTGCCAAACACACATTCGTAATACATCCTACTATATATAATCCGCTAAGTTTGTCTGTTGGTGTGTGTGTGTGTGTGTATGTATGTATGTGTGTTTTGACCGGAAATTCATAACTTTCTTCAAAATACCGATAAAGCGCTCAGAATCATAAGTGATGTAGCGGAGCGGCATGCGAAAACTTACTTGGTGGTGGTAGGAAGTGATAAGAGCTGATAAGATACCATACCGGGGCTTAGAAGGGGAGGGTCACCAACTCCATAGCGCGGGCCACAGCAGCGATGGGGCGTTGGTTTCAAGAGGTAAGATAGGGTGCAGGATGGGAACATTATTGGTGGGTGACAGGCCATGATAACAGCTGATAAGATACCACAAGGAGGCTTAGAAGGAGTTAGTTGCCTAATTCGTAAACGTCGCCACAGTTAGACGACCGGGGTAATTCCAAGAACGGTAAGACTTAGGGTTGCACTATGGGAACATTATTGGTGGGTGACAAGCCATGATAACAGGTGATAAGATACCACAAGGGGGCTTACAACGAGAGGACCACCAACTTCATAGCGCTGTTCCACGGCGGAGGTAGAGCGTTGCTTTCAAGGAGTGATGTAGGGGGCAGGATAGGATCATTGTTGATGGGTGGCAGGAAGTGATAACAGCTGATAAGAAAGCATAAGGGGCTTCAGAAAAGGAGGGTCACCAACTTCATTGAGCGGGCCACAGCGAGGGGGATGGTAGGCAACTTTCAAGAACGACGTAGAATATCGTGAGAGGCAGGATTGGAAACATTATAGCCCATGTGGGGGGCCGGAAGTCATAACAGTGATCGGCAGACTACGATACCTAGTTGGCAGAGAAGCCTTAAAAATTCATAGGAATTGTGGTAACACGGGATCTGCTTCTAGCACGTAACTCGGGAATTGGTTTTACGAGACAAGTTGTGTGAACTAGATTTTGTAGCCCAGAATCAATGGGCAAAGCCGTGGTGAGTTAAGATGTTTTTATTCTTCAGCGATGTAGTTGGAACGACCGCTAAATCCACGATTTCGAATTAAAAAGTAATAGCTCAAATTGTTCGCCATTGAGGAATTATATATATAGTAGGATATATGGAAGCTGCTCAGTGGAAGTACTAGGACGTAATTTCACTTGGATTCTGATGTTACCATTGAATCTCTTTCAACCGCTAGGCTGTCCTATTTCCAAACAAATGGTGGGTGTTCTCAGATTTTGATAAGCAGCCGACACAGGCAAATGTTCATTAAAAAAGAGAAATGCAATACAATCGGCCGTATATCGAAACGAATTAAGCCAAGTGTTAGTGGGTAACACGACAGTGACCAGAACCATGTTAACCATGCGCGCAGTAGTGCGCGACAGCCAAACTGGGTAACAATATATCGCGATTAAATTCAATGAGCATTCGTTAACTGACGTGAATCTCCTCTGGGAAGCGGCCTATTCAGCCGACCATCGAGTGTTAACAACGTCTGATTCCCAGATTGAGACGCACGGAAAGAGAAAGTTTAGCGCTTGTCTCACTACGTAACAGTTATACAAACCGCCGTAAAAATGCATTACCCCGATTATTGGAGTACGGTAGCAGAAGCGCATGTAATTGCAGATGTGACCGCAGATCGTTCGGCAATTTTAGCCATGGAGCGAGAATTTTCAGCAAAGTAGGGTGTCTTTGAAGGACCATAACTTCCTCAAAAGCGGACCTGTGGGGAAGAGGAGACCGTATTCGTGTAGAGGAAGGATTGCACTTCCTAAAATGTACTGAAACGTTTATGAAGGTCGCAAAAATCACAGAGAAATCTGCCCATAGGGATTCCATGGGGAGTGAAGGGTTGAAGTTTAAGTTGAACAGGTTTGAACCAATATATTTTTTTTGTAACTCAACATTTCACAAATCTGAGAACCGGATCGAGTGTTTGAAGATTTTCTCTTTCTAAAAACCTCTTGAACTGTTTCTGAAGCTCTCGGGATTCATGAGATCTCGCTATGGGGATTTCTTGAGGAACACTCCCAGCTGCGCGAAAAACCCGTTTCCTGTGTACCGTTCAAGTGAGCGTGTTCGAATAGCCAGGAACGCATCTGTTTAGAACGATATCCTGTGGCTGAGCAGGAGCAAGGAACATGGTTCGCTTTAGCGTACGATCACGCCAACTTAGTAGATGCGCCGCGCACTGAGGGCCGCGCAGAGGTGATGGGATGGTGCAACTTGTGCGTAATGTCTGTTCACGCGAGCAAATGTGTCTATAAGGTTCAGGGAGGTCCATGGCGAGCCTGTGCACTTGTTTACAGTGTTTTCCGTTGCGTATGATGGAACATGTCCCTGTCAACGCTGCCAGATTCGTGCTCCGCCAATCGCTGACTCCGATAAAGGAGACCAACTGCTGGAAAACGTCTGATATGAACGATATGGTAGTCCTGTCGCTTGTCGAGAAAAAACAGGTTGGCTCAGCGCCAAGCGCGACCGCGGACACGCCATATCATTGGCAGCGAACTAGAGTTTGAGTTGTACTGTTTAG